AATAGAGTGCCTGATTAAAGGATTATTTTGATAGAATAAATCAAGTATGTTTTTGTACCTCTATTAAAATGTAACTTTAAGAATCAAACTTAAACCTTAAAAATCAAAATTTTATATGCTCATACAACAAATTACATTAAATTAAGAAAAATAAGCTAAAAAAAGCTATTAGGTTCATACCCTAAATATAGAATTTAAATTCTTTTTTCTAATTAATATAAATTCAACAATAATAATTTTATTAAATGTTATAATAATTGGGGTTATTATAACAGCATCTTCTAACAATTGAATTTCTATATGAATGGGAATTGAAATATCAATAGTATCATTTATTCCTATAATTACTAACTATAATAATCAAATAAGTTCAGAATCTATAATAAAATATTTTATCATCCAAAGAATTGCATCAACCATATTTTTATTCAGAACGATTTCTATATTAATTGGGGTTAATATAGAAATCATAGAGAACTTAGTAAAACTATCAATAATTATTAAATTAGGATTAGCTCCTTTTCACAATTGAGTGTTAATAATTATTGAATCAATATCTTACTTTCCTATATTTATTATATTAACTATTATAAAAATTCAACCAATAATTATTATGTTTCAATTAAATTTTAATAAAATAATAACATTAGTAATCTTAATAAGAATAATTATTAGATCATTTTCAGCTTTAAATCAATCTTCTATTCGAAAAACTTTAGGGTGATCTTCAATTTACAATATAAGAATTATAATAACGTCAACAAATAAATTAATAATGTCAATAACTTACTTAATAATCTACTCACTTATTATAATAATTTTACTAAAAACAGTAATAAAAATAAAAATCAACTATTTAAATCAAATAATATTCAATGAATTTTCTATATTAATTAAAATTAATATATGAATTAATATGTTATCTATAAGAGGTTTTCCCCCAACTATGGGATTTTTTATTAAATTAATTATAATTCAAAACATAATTAATGAAAATCAAAATATAATAATTATAGTAATAGTACTAACTTCAATATTAGTTATAATATTTTACACACGAATAGCATTTAATTCTATAATAATATTTTGTCACATAAAAAAATGAATAATAATTTCTATAAATAAACCTATATACTATTTAATAATTTTAAATTTAACAATAATATCAACTATATTAACAATAATAAATTTTATATAAAACCCAAAGAGAAGTTTTAGATTATTAACATCATCATTAAATTTGCAATTTAAAATTTTTAATTAAACTATAAAACCAATATATTAATAAGTCCTTAAAAGACTTTAAGTTAATATAAAACTTATAACCTTCAAAGTTAAAAATATTCATTTGGAGTAAGTCTTATATTAACTTTATTGAGAGGGTATAATCCCATAAATAAATTTACAGTTTATTTCCTTAAATTTCAGACATCTCAACAAAAATAAAAAATATTGTAGTTAAATAATATAGTAAATAAATTTATCAATGAAAAAATGACTATATTCTACAAATCATAAAGATATTGGAACTTTATATTTTTTATTTGGTATCTGATCTGGAATGGTAGGAATAATACTAAGAATAATTATTCGTATCGAATTAGCACAACCGGGGTCATTAATTAATAATGATCAAGCATACAATGTGATCGTTACATCCCACGCATTTATTATAATTTTCTTTATAGTTATACCAATTATAATTGGGGGTTTTGGTAATTGACTACTTCCACTTATAATTGGAGCTCCTGATATAGCATTCCCACGACTAAATAATATAAGATTCTGACTTCTCCCCCCTTCATTAACACTATTAATATTAAGATCAATAGTAGAAATGGGGGTAGGGACGGGTTGAACAGTATACCCCCCCCTATCTAGAAATATCGCACATGCGGGCCCAAGAGTTGATATATCAATTTTTTCTTTACATTTAGCCGGTATTTCTTCTATTCTAGGAGCAGTAAATTTTATCACTACTGTAATAAATATACGTCCTATAGGTATATATATAGAACGAACCCCTTTATTTGTATGATCAGTCTTAATTACAGCAGTTTTACTGCTTTTATCACTACCAGTTTTAGCTGGGGCAATTACCATATTGTTAACTGATCGTAATATTAATACTACCTTTTTTGACCCTGCTGGTGGGGGGGACCCAATCCTTTATCAACATTTGTTTTGATTCTTTGGACACCCAGAAGTGTATATTCTTATTCTCCCAGGATTTGGTTTAATTTCTCACATTATTTCACAAGAAAGAGGAAAATCTGAATCTTTTGGTTATATTGGTATAGTATACGCAATAATGTCAATTGGAATCCTAGGATTTGTTGTATGAGCTCACCATATATTTACTGTAGGTATAGATGTAGACACACGGGCATACTTTACATCAGCAACTATAATTATTGCTGTACCAACAGGAATCAAAATTTTTAGTTGAATGGCAACAATACATGGTATTTCCTCTAAATTTTCAATTTCAATAATTTGGGCAGCTGGATTTGTATTTTTATTTACTGTAGGGGGTTTAACTGGAATTATCTTATCTAATTCATCAATTGACGTAATTCTACATGATACATATTATGTAGTTGCACACTTTCACTATGTTCTTTCTATAGGGGCAGTATTCGCCATTATGGCGGGATTTATTCAATGATATCCATTATTTACTGGATTAACTATAAACCCTAAATGACTTAAAATTCAATTTTCAGTTATATTTATCGGAGTAAACACTACATTTTTCCCACAACATTTTTTAGGATTAAGAGGAATACCCCGACGATACTCAGATTACCCAGATATATACACTTCTTGAAACATCTTATCTTCAATAGGAAGATTAATTTCTATAGTAAGAATTATAATGTTAATTTTCATTATTTGAGAAAGAATAATTTCTAAACGAATCACATTATTTAATTATAATAATAATTCATCTATTGAATGATTACAGCTAACTCCCCCCCAAGAACACTCTTATAATGAATTACCTATATTAATTAAGTAAAACAGGTTCAGTATGGCAGAATAGTGCAATGAACTTAAGACTCATATATAAATATCTTTATTTTACTGAAAATAGCTACATGAAAAATATTAAGATTTCAAGATGCAGTGTCACCTATTAAAGAACAATTAATTATATTTCATGATCACACTATAATAATTATTATAATAATTACAACTACAGTATTATATATAATAATTTCATTAACTATCAATAAATTATCTAACCGAAATTTACTTGAAGGGCAACTTATTGAATTAGTATGAACTCTTATACCAGCTATATTATTAGTAGTAATCGCAATACCATCACTAAAAATTTTATACTTAATTGAAGAAATTAATAAACCATTAATTACTATAAAAGCAATTGGACATCAATGATATTGAACATATGAATATTCAGATTTCATAAAAATTGAATTTGAATCTTATATAAAAAAAACAGAAGATTTAGAAATAAATGAATATCGACTTATTGAAGTAGACAATCGAATTATTATACCATTTAACACTAAAACACGAATTTTAGTTTCATCAACAGATGTTATTCACTCTTGAACTATTCCAGCATTAGGAATTAAAATTGATGGAACCCCTGGACGAATTAACCAAGGTAGAATTATAATAATACGACCTGGAGTGTTTTACGGACAATGTTCAGAAATTTGTGGGGCAAATCATAGATTTATACCAATTGTATTAGAATCAGTAAACATAAAAACATTTAATAATTGAGTAAAAAGATTCCTATAGAATTTACATTAAGTTACTTAAAAGCAAGTGTTGGTCTCTTAAACCAAATTATAGTAATAAGCGAATACTCTTAATGAAGAAATTAGTTTAATATATAAAACATTAACTCGTCAAGTTTAAATTACTTAAAAGTATTTCTTTATCCCTCAAATAGCCCCTATGTGATGAACAACTATTATAATATCATCAATTATACTATTAATGCTAATAATTATTATTATTTATTTTACTAAAAAAAATACTTTTACCCAAAAAAAAAACGAAACTTATTATAAATTCAATTGAAAATGATAATAAACTTATTTTCAGTATTTGACCCAAGATCTGGAATTATATCTCTTAACTGATTATCTATATTGATTATAGTTTTAGTTACACCAACTCAATATTGAAATTCACCAAACAAAATTATTCATATATTAATTAAATTATCAATTACACTAATAAATGAAATCATTATACATTTAAAAAAATATGAACAATCAATTATTTTTGTAAGATTATTTATATATTTATTAATTAATAATGTAATAGGACTTTTACCATATATTTTTACAGCTAGTTCCCACTTAGCATTCTCATTAGCATTAGCACTAACTATTTGAATATCAATAATATTATTTGGGTGAATAAACAAAACTAATCATATATTTTCCCACTTAGTACCAATTGGAACCCCTAATATTTTAATACCTTTTATAGTAGTAATCGAATCAATTAGTAATTTAATTCGCCCAGGTTCTTTAGCCGTACGGTTAACAGCAAATATAATTGCTGGTCATCTTCTTATATCATTATTAGGAAATAATTTAAGTGGAAATTTTACACTAATAATAATAATAATAATAATATTTATTATTTTAATAATATTTGAATTAGCAGTAGCATTTATTCAATCTTATGTATTTATAACACTCTCAACACTTTACTCAAGAGAAATTTAGTATGAAAAATCACCCATTCCATTTAGTAGAAAATAGCCCATGACCTTTAACAGGATCAATAGGACTTATGTCAATAACCTCAGGGACAGTTATATGATTTCACTATAATCAAATATGATTAATAATAATTGGTACAATTATTACTTTATTAACTATAATTCAATGATGACGAGATGTCGTCCGAGAATCAACATTTCAAGGAATACACACTAATAAAGTAATTAAAAGAATAAAATGAGGGATAATTTTATTTATTACCTCAGAAATTTTATTTTTTTCATCTTTCTTTTGAGCGTTCTTTCATAGAAGATTATCACCTAATGTAGAAATTGGGATGCAATGACCCCCTATAGGAATTAAATCTTTCAACCCTATAAGAATCCCTATATTAAACACAATAATCCTATTATCTTCAGGAGTATCAATTACTTGAGCACATAATGCAATTTTAAATAACAAATTTATACAAACTATACAGAGTATAATAATAACAATTGGTTTGGGTTTATATTTCACTTTACTCCAAGCTATTGAATATTTTGAGGCACCATTCACAATTGCAGACTCTATTTATGGTTCAACATTTTTTATAAGAACTGGATTTCATGGTATTCATGTAATTATTGGAACAATCTTTATTATAGTGTCAATAGTACGAGTAAAAAAATTACATATAAGTAGAACACACCATGTAGGATTCGAATCAGCAGCTTGATATTGACATTTTGTAGATGTTGTCTGACTATTTTTATATATCTCAATTTATTGATGAGGAAATTAAATTAGTATTCATTTAGTATAAAAAGTATAATTAACTTCCAATTAAAAGGTTTATTAAATAAAATGAATAATTAATCTAATATTAAATTCAATAATTATTATTATAACAATCATAACAATTATTTTAATAATAATTACTACCCTAAGAAAAAAAACAATTCTTGATACACAAAAATCAACACCATTTGAATGTGGGTTTAATCCAATATCTTACAATCGATTACCGTTCTCCATCCACTTTTTTATAATTGCAGTAATCTTCTTAATTTTTGATATTGAAATTATCCTAATTATACCTATAATTCTTACTATAAAAATAGTTATATTAAAATACTGAATTATTACCTCAATAACCTTTATTTTAATTCTAATTTTAGGTTTAATACACGAATGAAAAAACGGAATGCTTAAATGAACTGAATAAAAATAAAGGGTTATAGTTAATAATAATATTTGATTTGCAATCAAAAGGTATTCTTATACAAAGAATTAATCTTAAGATTTAACATAGAAGTAAAATTTTACATTTAGTTTCGGCCTAAATATTAAGGGGTTCACCTTCATGTTTTAATTGAAGCCAAAGGGGAGAGGCACCTTAATGTTAATAAGGAAAGTGATTTTAAATCCAATTAAGGGGGAAACTGGTAAAGGAAGAGCTGCTAACTATTTCCTTAAGCGGTTCAACTCCGTTTTTCCCTTCATATAGTTTATTAAAACATTTTATTTTCATTAAAAAGATGATAATTTTAAATCTATGAATGTTTTTAAATATAAATTTCCCCACCAACTTCACTGATGTGCTCTATATTATAAGCTATAAAAACAAATTATAATAATTAACCAAATTAATATACTAATAGTAAAAATTTTATATGAATTTAAATGATATAATTGAATAAAATTAGAGAATTTTAAAAAGATATAAGAAATTCCTAAACCCCCAAAAAATTCACCTCAATATAAATTTAATATTATACCCCTTCTAAAATAATAATTAGAAATATAGAGTATATGAGAATAACTATATATAAATCATATAGAGCCATTTATAATGTAAAATATTATAGGCAATTTATATAGAAATTTAGCAGTAGTTAATTCAAACCCTAAATATAAACCTATAAATACTATGACTAAAGTTAATAATTTTAAATAAAATGGTAATAATAAAAAACTTAAATCTAAATTAAGAATTCATATATACCCACAGCCAAATATAATAGAAAATAAACACAGAAATATAACTCTATATTTCATTATATTAATATTTTCTCTAATATCCGAAAAACTCAAATAATTAAATTTAGTAATAATCGTATAATAAAATAAACGAAGTCTATAAAATACTGTTAAACCCAAACTTAAATAAAATAAAATTCATACAATAATATTTAAGCCATTAAAAGATAAATTTTCTACAATTAAATCCTTTGAATAAAACCCCGATAAAAATGGGAACCCACATAATGCTATATTAGCTAAATTGAAACATCTGCATGTAATAGGCATACAAAAACAAATTCTACCTATAAAACGAATATCTTGACAATTACCTATCAAATGAATAATAATACCTGAGCACAAAAATAATAAAGATTTAAATATAGCATGAGTTAGTAAATGAAAAAAAGATAATTCAAATAAACCTATAAATAAAGTAACTATCATTAAACCTAATTGTCTTAAAGTAGATAATGCAATGATTTTTTTTAAATCAAATTCATAACTGGCACAAACAGAAGATATAATTATAGTTAGCAAACTAATAAAAATAATATAAATATTATTAACCAAATATTTACTAAAAAAACGAATTAATAAATATACACCAGCAGTCACTAAAGTAGATGAATGAACTAAGGATGAAACTGGTGTAGGGGCAGCTATAGCAGCTGGCAATCAACTAGAAAATGGAATTTGAGCTCTTTTAGTAAAAGATGACAAAATAATTAAATAATATAAATAAGAATCAATCACATTAATATAAAATATAAATCTTCATCTACCATAACTAAATATTCAACTAATTGAAATTAACAAACCAATATCACCTAAACGATTAATAAGACAAGTAATTATCCCAGCTAGATAACTCTTTAAAGAATTATAATAAATTACCAAACAATAAGAAATTAACCCTAAACCATCTCAACCTAATAGAATACTAATAAGATTAGGTCTAATAATTATCAGAAATATTCTAAACACAAAAGTTAGTACTAATAATAAAAATCGAACTGACCCATAATTATAATCACCTATATAAAAATTTCTATATAAAATAACTATTGAAGAAATTAATATTACAACAGATAAAAAAAATGCACAAACTTGATCTAAGTAAATAATATAAACAAAATTAACAGAATTAAAATTAAATAATACTCACTCAAATAATAATCTATATTCATTTAATAATAATAATAATCCTAACAAAAAAAATAAAACTGAAAATATAAACAAAAAAATAGACCAAATAAAATATAAATTTAATCACAAAACTTAAGAATAAAAATTATCTCAGAATCCACAAATCTGTATTTTAGTATAAACTACTTAAGTGATATTAATTTATATTAAAGTACTAATAAAAACAGGGATTAAAAATAATGGAAACAAATGTATGAATAAACATAAAAATTCTAATAAATTAATTATAGAAAAAGTATATAAATTATGATATAAGCCGTGCTGACTAAAACTATATAAATAATATCTAAAACAAGCAGAAAAAAAAGAAATACCAATAAAAAAATATATAGAATAAGATCAAAAATTTATTAATCTAGGTAAAATTATTAGCTCACTAACAAAATTCAATCTTGGTGGACAACTTATATTAAAAGCGCATAATATAAAAAAGAATATACAACAAGTAGGCATAAAATTAATTAAACCTTTATTAATAAAAAATCTGCGACTTATAGTACGAATATAAAACAAATTACAAATATAAAATAAACCTGATGAACAAAACCCATGAGCAATTATTAAAAAATAAGAACCTAAAATTCCTCATGTATTTATTGTTATTAAACCACACAATACTATCCCTATGTGAGCTACAGAAGAATAAGCTACTAAACATTTAATATCACCTTGAATTAAGCAAATAATAGAGATAAATAAAGAACCTACAATACCAAAAGTAAATCAAATATAAGAATACTTAACTAATATATATTCATATATATATATAACACGAATAAACCCATACCCGCCGATTTTTAATATTAACGCAGCTAAAATCATAGACCCAGACACCGGTGCTTGAACATGAGCTTTAGGTAACCAATAATGAGTTAAATATATTGGTATTTTTACTATAAAAACAACAATCAAAATAAAATGAATTAAAAAATTTTCTGATGAAAAAACTATATACCCAAAAAACATAGAACCGCAATATATATATATATATATAATAAGTAATAGTAAAGGTAAAGAAACTAATACAGTATAAAAAAATAAGTATATTCCAGCTATTAACCGTTCTGGTTGATACCCCCAACCTAAAATTAAAATAATTAATGGAATTAAAATAAACTCAAAAGAAATATATATATATAAAAAATTTATAGAACTAAAAATAATAACTAAAAAAAATGTTATTATTAAATTTAATAATATAAAATATAAGAAATTATTAGAAAAGTTTATTATAGAAATAATTATATATGAGCTAATAAGAAAAGTTAATAATATAAAACCATAAGAAAAATAATCTAAGCCTAGTATATAAGAAATGCTAGAAAAAATTGATGACGGAGATTTATATAATAATATATATATATATATAATAATATAAAAATACTGAAATAAAATGCTACTATGTATAATTAAAATTATTGGGATCAAAAATAAAACTATTAGAATTAAACTTATCATAAACTTAAAGAATTTATATAATCATTACCATAACAGCGAATTATACTTACTAAAACACTCAATCCTAAAACACCTTCACAAACAAAAAACACTATACAAATAATCAATAGATAAATACCATAACTATAAAACATTAAATAATATAAAAATATTAACATTAAAGAAACAACAATAAATTCTAGTCTTAATAAACATAAAAATATATGATTACGAATAATTAATAATGAAAGAAGAGAAAATATATACATGTAAACAAACCCATAATAAATAAGTTTTAATAATTTAATTAAAAATATCAATTTTGTAAATTGAATTTAGGAAGCTCCTTTAAAACTTCATCAAAATAGAAATTTCTATATTTTTACTACCCAAAAGTAATATTTTTTTTAAAATACTTGATGAAATTAAATTAACCATTATAAAAATTATATTAATAATCCCCTCAATAACATTATTTATAAAAACCCCTATGTCTATAGGAGTTATACTATTAATACAAACTATCATAGCAACAATACTAACCTCTAAAATTATATTATCATCATGGATTTCTATAGTAATATTTCTAATATTAGTGGGTGGGCTGTTAATTTTATTTATATACATAAGTAGAATCGCATCTAACGAAAAATTTAAAATAAATTATAAAATATTTATACTATTTATTATTATATTTGTACCCACTGAAGAATTAATATCAGAAATTCAAATTAATGAAAATGAAATTTATATATCAAAAAATGAAATATTAACATTCATAAAAATATATAACAAAAAAACAATAATAATCACCATCATAGTATTTATTTATATACTTTTAACTATAATTATTGTAACTAAAATTGTTAAAATTAATAAGGGACCATTGCGAGCTAAATAATTATAATGAATAAACCTATTCGAAAAAGAGATAAAATTATTTCAATTATTAACAATTCACTAATTGATTTACCAGCACCTATTAATTTATCAACAATATGAAATTTTGGCTCAATCTTAGGGTTGTGTTTAACCATCCAACTAATTACAGGTATTCTATTATCTATACACTATACAGCTAATATCGACATTGCATTTAATAGAATTAGACACATTATACGGGATGTTAACTATGGTTGGTTAATACGAAATATTCACTCAAATGGAGCATCAATATTTTTTATTTGTATTTACTTACATGTAGGACGGGGTATATATTATGGTTCATACCACCTTAATAAAACATGAAACATAGGAATTATTATTTTATTAATAACAATAGCAACAGCATTTTTAGGGTACGTTTTACCTTGGGGGCAGATGTCATTTTGAGGGGCTACAGTAATTACTAATTTAATATCAGCTTTACCTTATATTGGGACAATGTTAGTAAATTGAATTTGGGGTGGATTTAGAGTGGATAATGCGACATTATCACGATTTTTAAGACTACATTTTATAATACCATTTATTATCTTAATACTATCAATAATTCACCTATTATTTCTTCATATTACCGGGTCTAGAAATCCTATAGGAGTAAACTCAAATATTGATAAAATTCCATTCCACCCCTTTTTTTCAATCAAAGATTTAATAGGATTTACCATAATAATATTTACATTATTAACAATTGTAATAATTTATCCATATCTTTTATCTGATCCAGATAATTTTACCCCCGCTAACCCTATAGTTACTCCAGTTCACATTCAACCAGAATGATATTTCCTTTTTGCGTATGCGATTTTACGATCAATCCCTAATAAATTAGGGGGTGTAATAGCTTTATTCATATCAATTGTAATTTTAGTTATTTTACCATTTACAATAAAATCAAAATTTAAAGGTATTCAATTTTACCCAATTAATCAAATTAATTTTTGAATATTTATTACTATTATAATTCTACTAACCTGAATTGGAGCCCGACCTGTTGAACAGCCATACACTGAAACAGGTTTAATTTTAACAATTATATATTTTTTATACTTCATTTATGATCCAATTATAGCAAAAACATGAGACAAGTTAGTTAACTAACTTAGTTAATTAGCTTATAAAAAGCATATATTTTGAAAATATAAGAAAGATAAAACTAATTTATTAGCTTTACAAAAAAAAATGATAAAAGCATATAACCTTAATTAATATAAAAAAAAATAAATAATTTAATCTTAAAGGTAAATAACATTTTCAAGCTAAATATATTAATTTGTCATACCGGAACCGAGGTAATGTACCTCGAACTCAAATAAACAAAAAACACAATAGAACTAATTTAATATAAAAAAAAATAGAATTAAAATCTGAACCAAAAAATATAATAACAGTAATTAAACAAATGAAAATAATTCTTGAGTACTCTGAAATAAAAAGAAGGGCAAACCCACCTCCACCATATTCAATATTAAACCCAGAAACTAATTCTCTTTCACCTTCAGAAAAATCAAAGGGAGTACGATTTCTCTCAGCCATACAACAAGAAAACCAACACAAAAACAATGGGAATGAAAGAAAAAAAAACCATAAAATATTACTATAATAATAAAAATCTATAAATCTATATCTATCAACTAATATAAAAAAACAAAGTAAAATAAGAGATAATCTAACTTCATATGAGACAGCTTGTGAAACTCTACGAATACAACCTAATATAGAATAGATTCTATTTGAAGATCAACCACAAATTATTAAACCATAGATTCTTAAACTACCGCAGCACAAAAAAAATAATAAACTTATATCAAAATCAATACAATTAACATAATAAGGAAACAAAACTCATATGAATAAAGATTGAATTATTATCATAAAGGGACAAACAATATAAATAAAATAATTAGAATTCATAGGAAAATTTTGTTCCTTGATAAACAATTTAATACCATCACTAAAAGGTTGTAATAAACCTATATAACCAACTTTATTAGGACCTTTACGACACTGAATATAACCTAAAACCTTTCGTTCAAATAAGGTAAAAAACCCAACAGAAACTAAGACAAAAATCAATAAAAAAATAAAACTAATAAAATAAATTAATAGATATAAATATAAAATTTACTTAATCAAATTCTAAATTTAACACACTAATCTGCCAATCTATTTTTATATTAAAATATTAATACAACATGTATAAATTAATGGTCCTTTCGTACTAACTAATCTTATATTTATTTTAAGATAGAAACCAACCTGGCTTACGCCGGTCTGAACTCAAATCATGTAAGAATTTAAAAGTCGAACAGACTTAAACATAAAGAATTCTGCTTCTTTTTTTTATCTTAATTCAACATCGAGGTCGCAAAATTTAGTATAGATGTGAACTCCCCACTAAAATTACGCTGTTATCCCTAAGGTAACTTTATCTTATTATCATATATATGGATCAAAAACTACATAAAATAATGATTATCAAAATTAAAGTTAAAATTTAACTGTCACCCCAACTAAAAATAAAATTTAATAAATTTATATAAAAAAAAAACCAACTAAATTATATTTAAAGTTCTATAGGGTCTTATCGTCCCTAAAAAGAAATTGAGCATTTTAACCCAAAATTAAAATTTTAATTTTAAACCTAATAAAATATATATCACATATATCCATTCATTCTAGCTTCTAATTAAGAAACTAATTATTTTGCTACCTTTGCACAGTTAGTATACTGCGGCCATTTAAATAAATATCATTGGGCAGAAAATACTTTTTATATAATCAAAAAGAAATGTTTTTGTTAAACAGTTGGAAATAATAATTGTCGAGTTCATTAAAATTTAATTGTTATATTATACTAATTAAATCATTATTAATATATAAATATATTATATAAAAAAATTAAATAAAAAAGTAAATAATATAAAATATTAATTAGCAATATTAATTTTATAAAAACTAAATACAAAATTTTAAAGTAAAAAAATATTTACATAAAAAAATTATATTAATATATTAAGATTGTCCCTAATATAATTATGTTTAATGAAAATTAGTAATTAATTATAAAATTAAACACTTAATTTAATTAATTTACTTAATAACCAGATATAAAAAAAATGAATAGTATATAACTACTAATATTATTTTACAAAAAATATTGAAATATTAAGAAGAAAATAATAATATAACCTTTTAATTCGGGAAAATAAATATAATTAATTTAATTAATCCACCCTGATACAAAAGGTACTAAAAATTTAAATTAAAATATTATAAGTTAATCCTTATCAGTAAAAAATATAATTATTAGTTCTAAACAATACTAAAAAAAATAAAAATAATTTTATATAAAATAAAAAATTAAAAATAATTATAATAATCAAACTAAATAAATATATATATTTTCCTATTAATGTAACTAAAAAGCTTTAAATAAGCTATAGCTTGTAAAAAAATACTAACCTCATCTTCCGATAAAATTACTTTGTTACGACTTATCCTAAATTAGATTAGGAGTGACGGGCGATATGTACATAAAATAGGGCAAAATCCAATTACATTAATTAATGTAATTTACTATTAAATCCTAATTCAGAACCACTTATAAGAAATTCATTCTAAATAAATTTATAATTAATGTAACCCATAAAATCTTCATAAAAACTGCACCTTGACCTAATATAAACCTATAAAATTAGCTAAAGAAAATATTTTTACAAAACACTCCAAAATATAGAGATATACAAATAAATATAAAGTTCAAACTATCGTGGTTTGTCAATTAATTTACAGGTTCCTCTAAATAGATATTTTACCGCCATATTTTTTGAGCTTAAAAGAACTTAACTAATACTATTCAGGATAAAAATAACATAACAAATAATAGGGTATCTAATCCTAGTTTAAAACTGAAATTTTTTAACTAATAAAAAGAACTTAAATATAAAATATAAATTCCACCTAAATATAAATATAATATTATCTATTGAACAAATATATAAATTAATTTCCTATAAAATTAACTAAAATAAATTGTATAACCGCGAATGCTGGCACAAATTTAATCTATTTTAATTTAATTTCTAAATAAACAAAAATGTTATTAAATAAAATTATTTACTGGAAAAAAAATATTAAAATTATCCATATAATTAAATAAAATAATTAACTTATAGACTATAATAAAATCTATTAAATAATTAGCCCATTATATGGCAAAAATAAAGCTTTAAACTAAACGAGTTTTTCACAAAGAGGGTAATTTTAATATAAAAATTAAACTAATTAAAAATAATGATACCCTATACATGCATTGGGGTACAGTGTATAGAAATCACTACTAAAAAACTGATAAATTTCACCATTTTTCGAAATCAAGGATAAAATCGCATGAGGTAAAAAAGTATAAAATACTCACAGAAAAAATAAATAGTACTAAAAACTGACTAAGTTGAATAAACTAAACGAGTTTTTCACAAAGAGGGTAATTTTAATATAAAAATTAAACTAATTAAAAATAATGATACCCTATACATGCATTGGGGTACAGTGTATAGAAATCACTACTAAAAAACTGATAAATTTCACCATTTTTCGAAATCAAGGATAAAATCGCATGAGGTAAAAAAGTATAAAATACTCACAGAAAAAATAAATAGTACTAAAAACTGACTAAGTTGAATAAACTAAACGAGTTTTTCACAAAGAGGGTAATTTTAATATAAAAATTAAACTAATTAAAAATAATGATACCCTATACATGCATTGGGGTACAGTGTATAGAAATCACTACTAAAAAACTGATAAATTTCACCATTTTTCGAAATCAAGGATAAAATCGATGGTATGAAAATAGTCACTAAACAATAATTAACATTAATTAATTAATTAATATAAAAGCATATTATATGGCAGAAATATAACTTTCTTCCTACAAAATAAAAAACAAATTAAATTTTTCTCACAAAGAGAGTAATTTTAATATAAAAATTAAACTAATTAAAAATAATGATACCCTATACATGCATTGGGGTACAGTGTATAGAAATCACTACTAAAAAACTGATAAATTTCACCATTTTTCGAAATCAAGGATAAAATCGATGGTATGAAAATAGTCACTAAACAATAATTAACATTAATTAATTAATATAAAAGCATATTATATGGCAGAAATATTAAATTATTAATTATAATATAAAATAATAAAATAAAATATTTTATTAATTATGAAAGAAAATAATAAAAATATATTAATTAACATACTTAATAGCTTAATAAGCCATAATGTTTTTTTTTATAATAAATTTATTGGGGAATAGATCTATTATCAATGCAAAAATTATATTTACTAAATATTTCAAGTACATTTAAATATTTTAGTATAATATTATTTATTAATTAATATAAATAAATAATAAGAATTCCTTCTTTCTTTTTTCCAATTTATAAGAAAGAAGGAATTCTACTAAATATTTTATTAATATGTAAATATTTAATATACCTATATATTAAATATCTTATTATATATAAATATTTATTAATTAATATAATAATAAGAATTCCTTCTTTCTTTCTTTAATTTATAAGAAAGAAGGAATTCTATTAAATATCTTATTAATATATAAATATTTAATATACTATATATAAATATCTTATTATATATAAATATTTAATATACTATATATAAATATCTTATTATATATAAATATTTAATTATAATATATAAATAGTACTATATATTTTATTTTTTTTAGATTTTATATTTTAATGTTTATATAAATATTTGTTATATATTAAATTATTTAATGTATAATATATACTAAATATCTTATTATATATAAATATTTAATATACTATATATAAATATCTTATTATATATAAATATTTAATTATAATATATAAATAGTACTATATATTTTATTTTTTTTAGATTTTATATTTTAATGTTTATATAAATATTTGTTATATATTAAATTATTTAATGTATAATATATACTAAATATCTTATTATATATAAATATTTAATATACTATATATAAATATCTTATTATATATAAATATTTAATTATAATATATAAATAGTACTATATATTTTATTTTTTTTAGATTTTATATTTTAATGTTTATATAAATATTTGTTATATATTAAATTATTCTATATTAAATTTAACTTAAGTTTTAATTAAATCTAAATAATTATAAATATTATAGAAATCACTGTATTTAATTAATTTTTATTCATTTTAACTGTCAAGATATTTAATATTGTATAAGTTAAGCCATCAACATTTTTTTCATAAAAATAAAAAAA